TATATATATATATATATATATATATATATAAAATGATAATATTTATATGTTAGAAATTATATTTATATTATTTATATAAAATGTAAAAATATAGGTAAGTCAGAATTTTATTTATTGACAGGGTTGTTTATATAAAAGTGGATGAAAAGCACAAACAAATGTCAGGTGATTATTACGCCTTTTTTATTATAGCAAATATGCACGTAAATAAAAAAGAAGTCACTGTAAATAAACACATGCCCTTTAATACCACAGTCTAATTATTAATACATTAAATAATGACATTTTTCACCTTGGTAGACATTTTGAAATGTTGTGGATCTTCTTTTGTCATTTGTATGTACATATCATATTGCTTTGCTCATGTTCAATCCATCAGTCTCGTGAGAGTCAGCATCTCTTCTCGGGTTTGTTTACAAAGAGAAACCGGCATCTGAATGATTCAATATACAAATAACTGTACATAGAACCAGCGTTTAGGCCTGATCGACGCAGTGTCCTGAAATGCATCACAACAACGTGGAAGGTAATCCAACATAGTTCGACACAAACCTTGCGCTTTTCTGTTCACTCGATGTACCTAACAAGATCAGAGCGTGAACAACAAACCACTTCATGCACACTGCCATCTTCTGAGGGTGTTCTGGCTTTGTAAATGTGCCGTCCTGGGAACGCATATGAGGATTGTGTGGAGAGGCATGCTGGGATAGCTCTCGGCGCATGAAAGGGTGGTTGGTCATTCCCTTTGTGACAGAACTGGACCAGATCTGGGTCAGAGCAAAGGCCGACTCGAGCAGGTTCCCTACGGAGAGTCGAGATGCAACTGAAGCCTGTGGACATTTAATCAGACAGCAAAGAAAACCACGTAATGCAAAAATACAAGTGCATTAATGAACACATTCAGACTCTAAACTGCAGCGTTTTCAGCTTGGGTTTGAATGAGGTTTGGATGAACAAATCAGAATGAGGTTGTTTGTTTTTGATCGAGAAGAATCACAAACACACGGACTGCAGGAGTTTGTTCTTCTGTTGCTCTTTGATCTTTGAGAAAGGAAGTGACCTCCGCCCAGATGATGAAGATGATGATGAAGATCTACACTGGAATCCAAGCCACACATCACTAACAACAGACTGTCGGCTCAGAGCTCGAGGCAAAACTATAAAATTCTCAACAGAAATACATTAAAAAAAAAAAAAAAAGAATGCATAAATGGCACAACTTTGTATAGACCTGGTTGACAAAAGATGACATAACCCTCCTATTGCCTCTTCTCATTACTTTTATGATTTTTTTTTTACAATTTAATATAAATTTTCCAAAAAGTCATGTTTTAATTTAGTAGCTTGTGACCTGTTCACTGTTAAAAATATAATTTAATATACAAATATATATATTTAAGCTATTATTTCTCATTTTAACCATTTAACTTGTACTACAAACCAAAACTGAAATAAAAATAAATGAAACAAAAACACAACAAAATTAGAACAATTAAAATTAAAACTGATCCAAAATATTAATAAAAACTATTATCGCAGGGACACTAAAATTACAGTGGTAACAATTGGGTAATAAAATAAAACATGATTTTTGAAAGATGAATATTAGAATTTATATATATGATAATAAAAAAAAAATGCTCAGCCAATAGAAGGGTTAAAGCTAGTAGGCTAAATAATGCATTTAAAAACTGGCTTTGAGGGAACGGTTAGAATTTTTTACATAAAATTTATGGCAAAAGATTTATATTTGCAAACAATATATATATTTTTCCAGACAGAGAAACAATACATCTCTGGAATGCTAGTTCTCTGTGTTGAGCGTTTGGACACATTCATCACACACACATCTGATGAAATCAAGCACCTTTTTCACAACGTTTCCACTGTTTACTCAGCATCCGACAACATTTTGACATCAAAATAGAAAACGGACAACTTCAAACTAAAACTGGGCTGATGAATAACAATTATTCATTCGCAAAGATGGTTTAAAAATTAATGCATCATAGTTAGTACCCTCATTTTGTCAACTGCAGTCTATTTCCACTGAATCTTTAAACACGC